CTCAATATATGCATAAAAGCCTTTGACAAGAGCCAGCATCCATTTATGATTAAAAAAAGAACCTGAAGAAAATAGGACTTTATCTCAATATGACAAAAGCTATTTATGACAAACTCACAGGTAACATCATATTAAATAGGAAAAACTGAAATCTTTCTGCCTAAAATCTGAAACAAGACAAGGATGTCCACTATCACTAGTGCTGCCCAATGTGCACTTGAAACATTAGCCAAGAAATCAAGTAAGAGAAAGAAATAAAAGGAACGCAGTAGGAGAGGAAAAAGTCAAATTATCCTCATTGTATGACATGATCTTTTTCATACATGCTCTAAAACATGCCACCAAGAGATGCCTAAAACTAATAAACTCTGCAGGGTAGCAAACAAAATACAAAATCAACATGCAAAAATAAATAGTGAGTTCAAGGCTGGCCTGGGCTACATAGTAAGACCCTATGTCAAAAGAAAAAGAAAAACAATCAAAAAAGGTAACAATGAATAGCATTCCTATAAACCAAAATGTACCTACTAGGAAAGAGATTAGGAAAACAACACTATGCTCAACAGCTGCAACAAATTAAATACTTAGAAATTAACCTGACAAAGAAAGTGAAAGACATCTATAACAATAATTAAATACCTGAAAAAAGAAGGTCAGAGAGGACATACCTGTTCTTGGATAGGCAGAATCACAGATAATTATACTGTGAAAAAGGCTTATTACCAAAATGAATATAGTGGTTTAATGCAATCTAAGTCAAAACACTAGCATTCTTCAAAGAACTAGAAAAAATAATCCTAAAATTTATTATGAAATCAGAAGAGATCTAGACTAGCAAAAGCAATCTAGGGCAACAAAAGCCAAGCAAGAGGCATCATAATCCCTATTTTAAGTTATGTTGCAAAGCTATGGTAACAAAAACAACGTGATAGTGACACAAAACAGACTTTCTTTGTCACAATAGGACAAAATAGAACAGAACAGAGGATGTAGCAAGAACCCCAGACACATTCATCTTTATGTTCTTTGGCAAAGGGGTAAAAAACTTATGTAGGAGGAAAGATAGTCTCTTTAAGAAATGGTGCTGGGAAAACTGGTTATGTGCATCCAAAAGACTGGATCTAGACCCATATCTCTCATCATGTACAAAAGGAAAAGAAAAGAAAGTATAACAAAATATAAATGTTTTGTTAAAATGAAAACACTTAATCTGCTGGAAGATAAAATATGGATGTCTTCAAGATATACGCATATGCAAAGATTTTTCTGGGCAGAACTCCAATTGCATAAGTTACTTATGTTTTCTACTGTATAAAAAAGAACATTTTATTTCTTATGCCTTGTATTACATAACAAATAATGCCAAGAATCAACAGATGGAATTGTATCATATTGAAAAATTTCTGCACAGCAAAGAAAAGAGGCAATAGAGTGAAGAGATAGCGTACAAAGTAGGCAAAACATTTTAGGAGCTAATCAGTAAGCAAAGGACTCGTGTCTAGAATACATAAAAGACCCAAAAACTAGATCCCTCCAATAAACAACTAATGAAAAAACTGGGCAATTGAATAGACACTTCTCAGAAGATGTATAAATGGCCAACAAATATATAGAAAAATGTTTAGTATCTATGGGCATTAAAGAAATGTATATTAGAACAACACTGAGATTCCACTTACTCCAAAACAAACAGTTAATAAGAATCAAGTAATAACAAATGCTGGCCACAGTGGGAGGATAAAGAAATACTTCCACATTGTTGGTGGAATGGAAACTAGTATAACCACTATGAAAAATCAGTATGGAGATTCTCCAAAAAGCTAAAAATAGAAATTCCATTCAATGCAGCAATTCTTCTAGGTATCTTACAAAAAATTAAAGACTTCAAATTACAGTGATATGGGTGTACTCATGTTAATAGCAGCACAACCATACTAGTTAAATCTTTGAAGTGGTTAGTATCTCTATAGACAGATGGCTCCAGAAAGTGTGGTATTTGTACACAATGAAATACTATTCTGCCATAAAGTAGGATAAATTTGAGTCATTTTTTAGGAAAATAGATGCACCTTGAGACTGTAATGTTATGTGAACTATATCAGACACACAAGTTTAAATTGTTGCCTGGTTTCTCTCACACAGGAAACCAAAAATATAAGTAATTTTAAAAGCAACAAAAGATATACAGTAGCACACAAGGACTTGGTTCTTTTGCAATTGGAAGTGGACCTAGAGATGAAGGCATGGAGAAGAAGGAGAGTGGATATAAAGTGAATTAAGCTTATGGATGTATACTAACTCTCCATGATGAATGTAATCATTAGGTTCTGCAAATGCTAGTGAAATTTTTAAAATTACCCCAATTCTGATCCATAGTCAGGTACATTATCCATTGTCTGAGTGGTAATTCTTTATTTAGACTCAAATATTTGCTTTTTAGGTTTTTTGTTTATTTGTAAGATATGTTCTAGGTCACACAATGACTGCTAGCGAGAACAGAAATCTCCATGGAGAGATGCAGCAGTAGAAGGGAACCATGGACATGAAGGACTGCACTAGCTGAGGCTGTTCTTCCTGGCATTCCAAGACTGAGGCTGCCTAAGGGTCATAGAAAATACTGTGGGTCAATTCCAAAGAACCAGGGGCTGGCCAAAAAGGCGGAACTTCTCATTTCCAACAAATTGAAGAGGTAGGATCTTGCAACAGACTCAAAACCCCAAAACCAGTTACACCTAAAAGATATCACAAGGAAGTGGAATTTCTTAAGGGTTTATATACCAGCAATAAAACAACTCATTATAGGCAATTTATAAGCATCAACTAGGGAATTAAGCTAGAAGTAAAGACAAGAAAAAAAAGAAAAGAAAAGAAAAAAAGAAAAGAAAAGAAAAGAAGACACTTAAGCAAGATGCAACCCTAGACATGCATTTCACCAAAGGTAAACCCAGGGGGCAATAAGGTGGAAAAATAGAAAATCCACTCACCTGGCCTCTCTGAAGTGGCAAAAACAAAGAAATGAATGAGGCTCTAGAAAAATTATACCTGAAAGAATTTCTCAGATAACTACAGAGATGGTGTCTATAATGGAAACCATGCATAGTGACTCTAAAGAAGATGCAGATAAGAAAGACAGGAGCTTAAGAAAATGAGGGAAACCATGAATGCCCAACACAGGAAAGAAATGGAATCCATAACACAGATTAAAGCAGATATTCCAGAGAATAAAAATTCCATTGTAAGTTTCCACAGCAGAATGTGCCAATGTGAAGACAGAATCTCACACATACATGACAGGCTTATAGTTAGCAATCACAAAAAGAAAGGTGTCTTAAGAATAGAAAGGGACAATGAGAAATCGATCCAGCAGTTGCTAGATGATGCAAAAAAGAATAGCATAAGATTGCTTGGAATTAATGAAAAACAGAAAATAGCATAAACATTATAAAAAACTGTTCACAGACATCATGGCAGAAACCTTCCCGGGCAAGGAGAAAGAATTTGACATACAGTAAGTGAGGCATATAGAACTCCAATTAGTCAGCATAAAAAAAAGCCTATAGGCAGGCATATGGTAGCCAAGATTCCAGAAATTCAACACAAGAATAGAATATTAAAGGTTGTTAGGGAAAAGAAACAAATCACATATAAAGCAAAATCTATCAGAATCACAGATGACTTTTCAACATAAAATATATGCTAGATATTAAAGTCTTTGCCAGAAGAGAACAGGGTGATTGCTTCTTTCCCATCTGTAAGTTGTCCTTTCACTCTTTTGGTTGTTTTATTTGCTGTATGGAAACTTTTTAATTTGATATAGTCCTGTTTTAAAATTTTTATTATTAGTTTCTGTGTTATTAAAGTCTTACTCAAGACTCACTCAAGAAGTCTTTGCCTGTGTCCAAGATATCAAGTCTTTCCACCAAGTTTTATTTTGGCAGTTTAAAAGATTTAAGTCTTTATATATAGGTCTATGATCAGAATAAGAGATACATATCTAATTTCAATCTACATGCACTATCCAGTTTCCCCAAGATCATTTATTGGAGACTCTTCTTTCTCTAACTTACATTTTTGGATCCTTATTAAGAATCACAAAGCTGCAATTACAAGGGTTTGTTTCTGTATCATTTCCTTTTGTTCCATTGGTCTGTGTGTCTATTTTTGTGTCAATGCCATTGATATTTGTCGTTTTCTTTTGCTTTTTGTGGGCATTGATGTTTTTGTGTCTGTGATTTTGTAGTATATATTGAAATTCAGTATTACAGTATCTCCAGTCCTGCTCTTTTTGCTTTGATTTTCTGGATCTTTTGTGTTTCTCTATGTATTGTTCGAATAAGTGGCAATTCTGGATCTTCTGTGTTTCTCTATGTATTGTTTGAATAAGGACTAGAAATGAATAAGTATTATAAATTAGTAAAGAGCTGAGGACTGAGGCAAATATTCCAATAGACAAAGGCCGGGAATTAAATTCCTGTTGGACTGACAATATGACAATTCACAATAAGAAAATGATTCCTTAATTTCATTAAAATCATGCATCAAGGTCATTTTTCTATATAAACCCAACAGTTTTACAGAATTACCCTCCCCTGCCAGATTCTGACAGTTGTTCCTGAATAATTCTGCTGCCATTAGGGCATACTGACATTAAAGAAACGTGGAAAACCCAATGGTATCACCACTTGGTAAGAAATCACAAATCATGTTTTACAAAGGGAAGACCAACTGCATATCATAAATATTATCCAGTTGCAAGATACCTTTTGGTTGCTGGGCATGAGGGAACACCTTTCTTGTAGAAGTTAGAGGTTTGAGAAAAAAACTGAATGCATTAGTCATGCCAATATATGGTCAGTTGAGAATTTTAAGCTTATGATCCTGACAAATTTCAATTTACAGCAATTTCTTCAACACTTCTGTAGACTTAGCTATTTTAGCATAAGCTTCTACCCTCTCTCTCTCTACACGAGGCACAGGCTCAGAATAGCTGACATGCTACATGTCTTTTTATTCCTTTATTATTAATTGTTCTCATATTATTGAATCTCATGCTCCAGTTTTCTAAAATCTTCATTGTTGCATCCCTATAATGAGGGATGTAAGCACAGCCAAATACCCAAATACAGCACAATGAGCAACACTTAAAGTACCGCCTACACCCCGAGAAAAAGCTTGAGCCTGCTTGCAAAGCAGTCTTTTTCTTGTGCAAGGTACATTTTCTAGCGTATTTTTCCAGTGACCTCAATGAAAGGATGTGACTCAATGCAGAAGAGCGAGGCATCAGTAATGAGCTTATTAAAGGTTGTCTCCCTTTTGATTCCACAGCTCAAAAAACTTCCTCATGGATTTCTGGGCTACTTACTTCTTTTCACTGAGGCTGGCAGGGTCCAGTTAGTGTGAAAACTGTTCCTCTGTAGCCTGGTTGTATTTATTTCCTTACAGTAATACCTCAGCTCACAAACACTTCTGTTCAAAAACAAGCTGCTTTGGAAACAGAAGTGTTTGACAAAATTTTGCTTCCTTTCATGAACTCCACATTAGGTGATGAACATGACCACAGCCATCCTCCCCATGAGCACCAATACAGCCATCTTCTCCAGAATTGTGGAATGAATTACAGTCATGAACCCAAAAGTACCACTATATTTATCTATTTATATGTTATTAGTACATGTGTGTAGTACTTAATGTTTATATTCTTTGTGGGAAATTGTTACATGTACATACTACATCCTGATTCCTTCTTTCATTCCCTATAGGTTAGAAACTTCCTGTGAGGCTTTCATAACATGGATGCAGGTCTATAGCAGATCATTTGCAGGTCATAGCAAATTTTCATGCTGGAAAATTTTGTTATGTTACTGTGTAGGAGAACAGGCATTTTCTGCACATATGTGACATTTTAAAATGTAATTTTGTAAACTCTCTTTGATAGCTGTATGGTATGCTATAATTCTTGGAAACTGAATCAAACTAATGAACTACTTTTTAATTAAAATTTACTTCCAATAAGAGGACATTAGAAATCCAGTTACATATCAGAATCCAATAATGAAAAGAAGTGTTAAGTCTTCTCAGAGGACCTTTGCTAACTCACAGTTATTAACTTATTAACTCAAAGTTGCAGAGATCAATATTTACACAAAGAATGTTATTATTGTAAAATCTGGAAGTTTGATATGCATGGGCTTGGTCAATATGACCTGTATTAAGGCTTTACAAGCTTTCTTGCTTCTTCCATCATTTTAGCAGTAGTAGGAGGCTTTCTCTGGCCCCCAGGCTGTAGAAACTTCTTCACATTGGGCAGGTTACTGATTCTGGTTTTCAGGGCCTGCAACACACAAATCACAGTCTCGGTGGTGGATCTTAAAGTCCAAAGTTACTATTAAAAAAACCCTGGGATACAGTGGAGTAGTACTAAGCTATAAAGAAGAATAAACTTGAGACTTTTAAAGGTAAGTGGATGCAAATACCATACTCATAAGTGAAATAAATCAGATTCACATGTATAAACATTGTATTGTCCCTCTAGTGCAAGAAACTGAAAAACTAAGATGTAAATGGTACAATAGATATTGTGAAAAGGAAAGAAATTGCTCAAAAGGGATTAACAACTGGGATGGAGGAAAGGAGAAAAGAAGAGAAAATATATATACACACGCGAGATAGCTAAGATAATGGTACTGCTAATTTCTATTAGTTCATTGAAAGGAACAGTTAGTGTTTATATTGTTTGATCAATTTTGCATGCCTGTATCTGGTAGTCTGAGCAACTAGTTGGAAGAAAACATGCAATATAATAACCATTGTTAATTTCTGATCATCTTGTTTTGAAATTTTGTATAGCTTTAATTTTTAAATCCCCTTTAAAATAAAAAAAAAAATCCTGGGAACCCCTACATAACCCCTACAAAGATCCATCAGCACTAGTGGAGAGCTGGAAGTACACACCTCATCAAAAGAATACAGGAGATAGAAGCTTACTTTGTAATGCATGATAAGTTACATGCTTTACTGCTGGAGGAAGACATGGAGACATAGATACACAGTAGGTCTGTAGTGTGTTGGTTTTTTTTATCTGGGTGGTAATTGTGCATTCGTTCAATATTGTATTTATTTCAACTTTGATTAATGTATAAATTTATATACTAATGTTTATGAAAATGAGTGAGTACTTCTTAAAGTATTTTGACACTATGTGATATTACAGGGAATACAAATAGCACTTCCTTAAAAAATTCTTTAAATTTACATTTAGTCATAATATTCCCTGTCCTCTTAGACATAAATGCTTTTGCTTTTTATCCTTACAACTTAATGGGAACAATGTGTTTGTTAGACATAAACAAAGAAATGTAGAGGTGGAAAATCTCAAGTTGAAAATGAAGATAGGAAATATTGACCAGGGGCTCGGCACAACCAACATTCACATTAATGGTACTGGTGGGGCTTGGCTGTTAGTGGGGTGCTGTGTGGGTTGGGAAGTTATGGACCTATGGAAGGAGAAATGCAATTCCTGATAGTGGGAGCCAGAGCTGAAGAAAGGACATCAGAAAACAGGGGAGCAGTGGACCAGGGAGATATGGGGCTCTGAGCCCTTCTCCTTTTAGAGGTCAAATATTTCTCAAGTAGCATACATCGCACATTTCCTTGCACAAATAGATTAGTTTTGTGCCTCGCATGCAAGGCCTAGAAGCCCATGGTGGAGGCATGTGGTAGGAAGAGGAAGGCCTGGAGAAGGCTGGAGGTGAGAATCTCACCGTGGAGCCGAAAGAGTTTCACTATGGGAGATGTGGGGCTGCGTGTGTGCGGGCACTGGACTACTCACCTGCAGCAGGGGGAAGCTGGCCAGAAGACTGGCGTCAAACTCTTCAACAGTGTACAGAAGCTCAGTCAGGAGAATGTCAGCCTTGCTCAGCTTGTTGCCCACAAGGTAGTCCTGTCCGTGGCTCTTTAATACCTGGAGATTTTGCGAAGTCAAACCATAAATATGTGCACAGAGTGGGTGTTAGCTTCTCCCGGAGCCTCTCAGCCTGACTCTCCTCTTTTTCTGCCCCGCTTGGTTTGTTGGAATGCCAGAGCTTTTACCAGGACCCTGGACCATGGAGGAGGGTGAAAAGCAGGCCCTGATCACGCCTGCATTACAACCCAGGTTCCACTTTCATCCTCACATCCACACCCCAGTAGTGCTTACACCTGCGCCACACCTGCCCTGCATCCTCCACACATACCGAGGGCTCAGCTTTGCTGCATCACGTTTCCACTTGCCCACAACCAGGTTGCCCACAACCTGAAATTTCAGGGCTCGCTTCTCCCTTCCTCTGTCTCCCCTCTCCCATGAACCCTGGCTCCAGTGTTATAGTGGCACCCTTCACGAATGCAATCACCTCAGTGCCATCCTTTCTCCCCTTCCCTGCTCTCCTCATTTCCTGGCGCTCTCTCTGGGACCTGACTTGAACCCCAGTGAACTCGAACTCATGATCTCCTCTGCTCTCTCTCCTTCTTTACATTGGAGTATAGTCTCCGTGAGGAGTTCTCTGGGGATAAACAGAACTGATGTCTGCAACTTACTTTGCAATGCATGAAAAGTTACATGCATTACTGCTGGAGGAAGACATGGAGTCAGAGATGTACAGTAGGTCTGTAGGGTGTTGCTTTTGTTACCTGGGTGATAACTATGCATTCATTCAATACTGTATTTATTTCAACTTTTATTAATGTATCAATTTATATACTAATGTTTATGAAAATGAGTGATTACTTCTTAAAGTATTTTAACACTATGTGATATTATAGGGAATACAAAGGAAAACACATGATAGCACCATGTAAATAGGAACTTCTCCTAAATGTTTAATATATTTTCAAACAGTTACTTCATACAAAATAGAATACCACAGCAAATGTCTTAGTATAATATACATTGTTAATTTTCATGGAGTGCTTTGATTTCATAGTACCTGACTTCAAGTACAGCTTGAAAATCTGTCATCATGTGATGTATGCAAAACGAACTGCACTACATGGTGTGCAGAGGTGTATTTGAAGATTTCATTGCCCCTAAGATGATCATTCCTTTCATTGCACAAAGCCAGTAATGAATCAACTTATTGAATAAAGGAAAGAATAATGCAATGCTTTATGGTTTTTTAAAAATTTTTTATTTTTTAAAATTTTTTCTGGTACCAGGAATTGAACTCATGACCTTGCGCTTGCCAGGCAGGCGTTTTGCCACTGAGCTAAATCCCCAGCTCCTGCAATGCTTTATGAGATGAGGGTTGACAGGTTAGTTCTGTAATATATTTGTATAGTTTCTGTGTCTCTTATTCTAGGGAGCCCTTCCTGGTCCTCACCACAGCCCAGGATGTTTATATTTGTAATCCCATGGAAAAGTTAGTGCAATTCTAGCGAGTTACTTCCAATCTACCACTTTCAGTGCAACCCATGGCAAGAGAAAAGACACTGAGACATATTTGCAGTTCGGGAGCAAGGGGTCCTAAGTCCAGCTATGATGCTGGCTAATAAAACAAAGTCCTCAGCCCAGGGCTGAATCTGGGTTTTATTCATTTGTGAAGAGGGAGTAGCTTGAGGATGAGTGACTGTGACAGTCACGGGAACATGTGAGTACTGTGACCTGGACTACATAGGAGGCCTCAAATCACATCTGTGAAATGCAGAGAGAAGGATATGCAGGAAGAGTAATCTGCATAACACAACTGAGGCAGTATCTAATGCTTTGGGCTTGGTGCTTCAGCTCTCATGTGCAATCTTTTAAGCCCTGGGAAGTCAGTCTCTTATCTTGAGGCTGGATCCCAGCCGACAAAATGGAGCACTGGCACTTCACTCCGCCTCATCCCAGTTCACACGTGGGAACAGTGGGGTCTGGGGACAAACTGCCCGTCATCTTTGCTTCAAAGACCACACATCAGCACTGCAGATGCACTGATGTGAATTGCTGAAGGCCAATTGATGGGACAAGGAGAAGCCCTTGCCAGGTCTGTGCATGTCAATACATGGAAATGGGGCCAGGTTCAGCAAAAATGCAGACAATTGCTCCTCCTTCAAGGACAGTGGCCCAGGTGGTTCTCCACATCTTATGATCTTTTTTGAATCTTTATTTCTATTTAGCTTAAATTTACACGGTGTTCCTCCTGAAAATTCTTGCTTCACCTTCACAAGGAAGCTTAACTAAGGTAGGGTTTACATCTGCAACAATGGACCTTTATTTCCCTAGTTTGCATGCCTTTCATCTCAAGTCTTAGGAGCCAAGTCCCTCAATTCTGTAGATTATTTTTATAATCCCTTAATGTCTCCTCCTTTCCATCCCCCTACCAATACACTTTTAAAGACATGTGTCTGCCTGACATGGGGCAGAACACTTGGTGCTGTGCTGTCCTTGCCAGGTTGCTCTGGAATGGAAGTCCAGGGCACTCTGCAGGGTCCACACAACCTTGAGTGTGGCTCAGAGTCTTTCACTCTCCCAGTTCTCTTATGCCCATGAAATTCTATTGAGTGCTGAATTCTAAATTGCGTGTAACACACTGAACTTTGACTCAGAAATTCACCTTTGGTTATAACCCTACAGTGCCTCTTTCCCGACCACACTTCTATAATTCCTGGACTTTCAGGGCCCTGCTCTGATTTTCCAAGAGCTCACTGGATATAAAGGTCAAGGCCCTAGGAGTGCCCAGTGCTGTGTCCTCCTGACCTCTGAACTGAGTGCCCCAAACCGCTAAGCAGCCTCACTTACTTTTTCGAAGGCAGGTAAGTAACGATTCTTTGTTCTGTCCTTGATCAAGGCTATCTTAGCATCTATCTGATCTGGAGGAGTTACTGTCAGTTGTATGAACATTTCATATAAATCTGCCATTCCTTCTGTATACATATCAATCCTGAAAGACAACACATCAAAAGTCAAATTTTCCTACCTTAGCCTTTACTGTTTAAAACTTAATAGGAGCATTAGGTGGTTAGAAAGTAGTTCACCTGCATTTGGTAGTTTTTATATATTATTGTTTATCGTGCTATGAGTTTTATGTTTGTGTTACCATCTCTTAGAACAGTCTATGAGGTAGGTATATCTACTATTTTTGCTATATCTGTGACTAAATACAAGTATAAAGAATATCAGTAGAGGGTCTAGAGTTATAATCAGGGGAGACCTTGTTGGAATCAGCACATATAACCACTGACTCTGCAAATTGGATTTGCAGCCTCTGTGTGGTCTATGAGTGCAAAACCTCGCATGCATCTCACGTACCTTGAACATAGCCTTTCAGGCACATCTCTGCTATCTCACATCTTTCTTGCACAGTGCAGGCTCATTGCTATGTCCAGGGTTACAAGGTCTCCCAATTATTTCCCATGAAACACGCTTCCACAACCATCTCCACTTGCTGTTTTCCAACTCTAGCCTTGTTTCCATCGCACAAGACTCTGCTTAGTGTAGCCCATTGGTCGCGAACCTGCAGAATGCATGCTGCAGCAGGCTGTGTGTTATCACTGAAAGCTCTAAGAATTTCAGTATCACTGATCTAGCCCCTTCCTTGGTGCGTTTTTAAAATGTAGTTAAACTAATGCATGTCATGGAAGCCATTTATTTCCAATTTTCTAAGCTAAACTTTCAATCATTTTTTGAAATTTATTTGGCAGCTTTTTTGACATATATTCACATACCTAAGCTGTCCATGCTTCAGATTGTTAATATTCAGAATTCTTAATATATTTGTAGAAGTTTGCAAGTATTAGCATTCACTATTCAGAATATTGTGTTACTCCACCCCCAAAAATGTTCTGTGCCTTTGGCAGTCACTGCCCCTCTCCCTGTAATTCCACTGAAACCCCTAATGTGCCTTCTCTCTCTATGGATTTTAATGGCATGAACATTTGATGCAAAGTCGTGGAACAAATGCCTTCTTTGAGTTTCATTTCCTTACCATATATAATACAATGTCTTCAATATGTGTCCTTATTTACCATGCATCATCACTTCTTCCCTTTGCATGACCATTCTATGCCTCTAGCGCATTTTGTTCCTCTTTTCATCCTTTATTTACTGTTCCTGTGTTATGGATCTTTGGGATGCTTCCACTTTGGAAAATTACAAATAAAATTTCTAAGAATACTTTTAAACAAGTATAAAAGTTTATGCATTGGATAAGGGTATATACTACTGCAGAGAATTGCTGAATAATTCTGTGCTTCACTTTTTGATGAATTGACAACAGCTCTGTACAGGGTTTTATTTTCAATGAAACAGCTCCGTCATGACAGGAAGGGTACCCCAAACACCCTATACTGGCTTTCTTGAGGTTCAACCAGGCTTTGTACGTCCATATGAAACTTTAAGGTGGCCCTTGTGTGATGGGCACCAGCTGACACTGACACTCATCAAGTTGACCTGTCCATAGAGTTAGCTGGTAAGTTAGGTCCAGGTGATAATTATAACTTTTGGATCTTGAGAATCAGTTCCTTTAGATCTTCAGATCCCAAGACTCCCCTTCCTCACCCTCAAACACTGTGTTATTTGTCCCAAGCTCTTCTATGAAGTCCAGTTTCCAATGCCCTGCGGATCTGAGATCATGATTCCCTCATCCCCTTGATTTCATGCTTCACCTACTAATATTGAATCTTTCAGTGCTTGAAAAAGCTAACACTTTGCTGTGTCTGAAGACAGTGTGTTCTGATATAATCACAGTCATCCTAATCTATGCGTTTACTTTTCTGTTATCTTACTGGACATAGTGATCTCACCTTGTATTCTTCCTAATCATCTCATGATATATATCCAGGCCCACTTTATTGCTAATCATGATCCTCCTGCTGTGGTCCTCCTCACTGAGGGTGTAACCTGAATCCTCCCTGTGTCATTTTCCTATGTAAGAACAGGAAATATACTTACAGGAGTCTCTCCTTCACGTCTTTGCCGTAGAGGTTGTATTTGGTGGCAATGTAGTTGAGAATGGCTCTGGACTGCACCAGCTTCATCCCATCCATCTCCACCATGGGTACTTGCTGGAACAGCAAGAGCCCATCTGTTGGAAATAAGAAAAGAAAGAAAGAAATACTATGGATACGACTATTTCACAATGAACAAAATGGTCTTGGATATGATTTGAGAAAGGATGAAACATATTCCCTGATCACCTTCAAGTAAAACAGAATTTTGCTCTTAATTGCTGGTAGTTCTTCATTTCCTTATCTTACTTTGCTTTTCAGCGCATACATTTTTTCCCCTTTGTTGGTTTTATGAGACAAGTTCTTACTGTGCAGTTCAGGCTGGTCTTAACTCACTATGTAATTCAGGCCTGCCTCAAACTCATGGTGCTCTGCCTGCCTCAAATTCATGGTGCTCTTCCTGCCTCAGCCTCCTGAGTGCTGTGACTACAGACATGCACCACCATACCCAGCTTGGCCTATTCGTTTGTCTTTTAGTTCCCATCCATGTAATACAACATATCTTGCATCTTTTCATGTATTATTTATCTTCATGATTATTTTAGGAATGCATGGAGAGAGGAAACAAGTTCGACACCCAGATGCCATTTTAAGTGGTAAATTCCCAAAGTAAGTTTCATGATGATGAGGACATTTACAGTGGGTTCTGTGGGAGGTGTCTATTTAGAGACCTCACCCTGTATTATGTCAAGCCTGCAGTGGTGCTGGGATATTTACATTTCACATGCAATAAATGAAACAAGACAATGGCCCCAATTATGTTGCCTTCTGTCGTCTAATGCATGGTCCCGTGTGTGCCTCAGTAGGAGGACAGGGCGTGACGCTGAATGGAGCGCAGCACCATCACAGGAGAGAAAGAAAGGAGAGCATCCAGAGGCCCCTGCAGATAATTCTGTGGATACTCAGACAGGTCCAGTCTTTTTGATAGCAGAGTTTGCAGATCTCCTTCAGGATCTTTATCCACTGCAATTTACCACTTTTTAACTCTGTACCATCTCTTCTGCAATCCTCCCAACATGTTGACATTGCATGACACTGATTTCATTGGTTGAAGGAATGCCTATGATATTAGCAGGGCAAGATCCTGGGTGTGTCAAGGTGGATCATGGTTGTGTGTTCTTAGGTACTCTATGTGGCCTTTGGGCATTCATTTCTCATACTGTTAACCTTCTCTCCTTCCTTCCTTCCGTGAACTAAAGTGCTTTCACTCTTGCACACACATCTGCCATGATATGCCTGGCCTGGAGTCATTCAGTCTGGGACAGAGTCCTGATTCCATGGGCCAAACTAAACCTTTCTTCCTTTACACTGAGAGTGTCAGGTAGTGTGTCTCAGCCATGGGAAAGCTAATACAGAACACTGATGCCAGAGAAGTGAGGAGGCGGCCGAATCTGTAACACATGATTTAGAAGCTTCACAACAAGCTTTTGGAGGGTGTGTAAAAAGATTTGAAATGTTGGCTAAAGAAAAATTAGAATACAATAAACAGATCTTGATGAATGATTCTGGTTAGAGCTAGAAGACCAGAATGTAGGTAGTAAAGGTCAGGTTCAGCAGATTCCCTGTGGGAATAGGTGTTCCATTGGTATTTGAACTAAAAGCCATGTGTATTACAGTCTGGCAAAACAGATATTGTTTATATTTTTCCCATTCCGTGAGAATTTGCAGGAGATTGATGTGAAGGGCTGCAGACTAAGGAATCTAGAGGCAGGAATTTCAAAATAGTTCAACATTTCGTTGGTACCCTGAGTCCTGATGGCTGATTGTAGACTGATTTCTAGTGAGAGCTGGAGGCAAAAGACAAGCTGAAATATTTGAAATTCTAAATTTTCAAACATTTTATTAGTACATGGGTACCTTAGTTATTTTTCTCAACACTTAGACACAATACCTGACATCCATAAGATAAAAAAGAAAGGCTTTTTGTAGTTCACAGTTTGTGGAAGTTTCAGTTCATTGTCAGCTGGCTTCAAGGCAGGACAATATAGTATAGGGGAATGGGGTAAGCAAGAGACAGCGAGCCTTCCTTCTGCTTTCCTTTTATTCCATACGGGCCACCAGGCTATTAGCTGCATGCCCATTATACCCACCCAGAATTATGCAATCAGTGGACTAATACATTTTCCACACACTGTTAATCCATACTCACACCCTAGACACAACCACCTCCAAAGAGCCTGACCTATGAGCACATGAGGCTTTCAGGGGGAATCTAGACAGAATGCATAAAAATGTGTATAGTTCATAATGCTCACATTCCTTCTAGGAAGTTGGTACACGTGCATAACACATCTGAATTGTTGTTTTCTTTTCTTTTTGTTGGAACAGGGTCTCAACATGCAGTTCAGACTGGCCTTCAATTCCCTATGTAGCCCAAGCTGTCCTCAAATTCACAGTTATCCTCATAGCTCAGCCTCCCAAGTGCTAGGATTACAGGTATGCACTGCCAGTCCTGGTTTAATTCTGATTTTCCTCCCTTTTCCCTTCCCTCATTATCCCATAGACCTATCTCTGGATCACCTTCCTTCTTTTCTTTTTTGTTGTCCTTTACTTTGTTTGGGGGATATTGTTGGTTTTTTTTTTGTTTGTTTGTTTACATTTCTTATGTAGAGTTCCCACATGTATATAGCTCAGTCCAATTCCTTTAAAAATGTAAATTTTGGCTGGGTAAGAACCCCATAAAAATATAGTGTGAAAAGAGGTGTGGTTATGGAAGAGACTAGCCTCACAGAAAGGAATGAAGGAATTGAAATGGAGATAAGAAGAAAGATGACTTGAGAGAACCTCAGAAATGAGGACGAGTCTACCTATCACAGGCTCAAGTACAAATCTGTAAATCTTTCATTGGAGTAGTGAGTCCCTGGGATTCCCTCTTCAGAAGGATATAGTAAAATATTAGAACCCTGGCAATCATTTTGCTGTGCTCAGCCAGTATGGAATTCAGGGGCTATTGCAACAATGGTCCACAGGATGCAGCTACTGCTGTAGTTCACAATCAACCATGGCATCATCCACCTGATGTTGTTTTTACCAGCATGCAGAATGCGTGAGTTGAAAGGGCAGGAAGGCTTCCACCCATACTTAAAAGGAAGGCCTAGGAAGCCAGGAAAGTCATTCCTGAGAAGGCAGTGTGGTACACTGTGGGAAGGAAGCCAAATGAGTGGTGGGGATCCCAGAAAGTAAGAGGTGCCAAGAACATGGAACAACAGCTGAGGAAAAGTTGAGGCTATGTGTAGAACCAAGCCAAAAGAGTGGTCATACGTGCTGCAACCGGCAAGACAAAGGGATGCAGCTGTCCAAGTCCTTTGGAACGCACATCTTGTTATTATGCACCCCAGATGCCAGATATAGGACTATGGACTTAATGTTTAATTTGGTAGGTTTCAACCTTTGATCTGATTTTTCTCTTCCTGTTCCTCCTTTTTAGAATGGGATTATTTACCCTGTATCAATTTACTTTGGAATTATGTAGCCTGTGTTTTATTTGTACAGCTCAGAGTTTGCCATGAGTCTCAGAAAACACTGGCTTGGACTTTTGAAAATGCTGAACTTTGGAGACTTTGAGAAGGGATATTGTCCTTCTAGTTGTAGGTGTGACAGTTGTATTCTGTTAGATGAAATTATGAACTTGCTATTATCTTCATTTGGAAATTAAAATGTGGGTACAAAGTTCTGAAAGGGGAATTGTATCCATTAATCCTCATGTGCCTACTTCACTGAAATGAGAAATTCCTAGAAGTTAACAGAACATGCTCCTGGGTATGTATGGGCAGAGGATGGAGGCCTCCCTGGTGTTATGTATTGCACGTCCACCGTCCATCTCTGGCACTGTTCCCTTGCTCTACTTCCTGTCTGGAACTAAGAATCTTTGCTCTGCCACACTTTTTACCTTGATGTATCTGCCTCGGAGCAAGCCAACCATGGCCTGAATCCTCAGAACTATAAGTCAAATTAAATCTCTCCTCCTTTGAGTTGTGAGTGGTGAAAATCATGTCTCAGTGACTGGAAAGCTGGGTAAGAAATATTAGAATGTTGTACTTGAAATCCTTATCAGCAACATTCAAATTCGTGATATTACCATTTTTTAACTTTTCAAAATCTTCTGGAGTTTCTATGAACTTCTCTTCAAACTGGAAGTAGAAAAAGTAAATAAAATGTTATTAGTTCATTCCATAATGTTGTAGTCTCTTAAACTTGAGTTGCCCCTGAAATGTAGTTAGTAGGAAGAGGTGAAAATTTCTGAGTTTGACACTGAACGCAAATGTATCCGTTTATAGCCACCTGAACATTTATGTTAGATACATCCAGACAATGGCATAGATCATCATACACAGCTGTTTCTTTGTATAGTTCATCTCTCTCCTGACACCAGCAACATCCTCAGTTAGGTCTCAATTTGGGAAGGATGTCGCTTGATGGCAGAGTCTAGATTTCTTCTAGTCATGAGGTTTTTGTCTCTCAGTAGAACTCTGTGATGTCCAGTGCTATGAGAACAGAACCTTTGTGTCCCCATCATGGTGTATATCTTGGACCAATGACTGAGAGATGATTGACTGATACTAGGATAATACTTGTTCTTATGTGTGTTTTTGCTTCTACTAGAAATTTACATTATGAAACAGTAAAAAATATAAGAAACTAAGTGTAGTTAAACTTAAATACCACAAAATAGGAGGGAGGGAGGAACCCTTGGTGGAACTGACATCACCCTCTTCCTTCTCATAGTTTAAAAGAGAAGTTTTTCATCATGAAACCATTATGAAATTGGAAAACAGGTTTCTAAACTGTTTGGTAGGAGAGAGTGTATTGACTTCCCTGGTCCAAAACAGGGTATTCAGGTAGTGAAGAGCGTGTGCCACCAGTCTGCACAGCACTAGGGATCATGTTTGGTTACCACAGGAGGATGATCAAGGTAGGATGGGGTAAGGATGGAGAGGTGGAAGGGTTCCGTCTTTGGGCCATGAGAACTCAGAAGATTTGAGCAAGGGTGGCCAGACAGCCCTTTGCCACCACTCTGCTCTCACATGGTGGGATGGAGAAGAGGAAGCCTTCCCTCCCTAGGACATTGCCCCTAGATCTCCCTCCTCCCAGAGGCATGAAATATATCTCAGAACTACCAATCTTGTGTCTGGATATGGTGAAACCTGATCACTTCTTTATAGAAAGAAAACGTGGAATAGCACTAGTGCAGCATTCGGATTTTTTGCACTAGTTTATTTACAAATTAAGGAAGGATGAGGCTTCATACATTTATCACGGATTGAGTGTTCCCCTGAAGTAAGCACATTGCTATTGGTGTTGAGGGGACACATGAGAAGTCCCTTTCACAGGGTATGACTTCAGCTTTTAACCTTCCGTTTCCTTTGGTGCCTGAGGGACAACACCTACCGCAGTATCCATGACC